CCCTGCAGTGAATGGACCAGGATATGACACAAGGGGAAAGAGCGGTGACACCTCCAGGAGGATGTCTTCTCTAATCAGGGACGACTTTAGGAATGTACCTGAAGACTCGCCACTCGACTCTGAGTGAGGGGCGTCGTGAGAATGTGACTCCATGAGGCTGGAACCTGGTCTGTCTTCTTTGAGTCCCTGGAGCAGTGGTCCCCAACCTTCTTGGCACCAGGGACCGGTTTCGTGGAAGACAATTTTTCCACGGAGAGGGGTTGGGAGGAGGCGGAGCTCAGGCGGTGATGAGAGTGATGGGGAGCAGCTATAAATACAGATGAGCCTTCATGCTACTCGCCTGCCACTCACCTCCTGCTGTGCACTCCCCGCCCCTTCCCAGGTTCCACAGAAGACAATTTTTCCACGGGATGGGTGGGAGGGGGAGGTGCGGAGCTATGCGGCCCTGTCCCTAACAGGCTGCAGATGTACCCGTCTGAGGCCAGAGCTTGGGGGCCACAGCCCTAGAGCACTGGTTGGCACATAATAGGTGCTCAGTAAACAATCGTGGAAGGAATGACTAAATGATCTTTAGTCCTCCACCCAGCAAAGAAGGGTGCTGATTTCCAGGTGTGTGTGCCAAATTTCTGCGTAACTCCTCTGAGGGCAGCAATGTGTCACCAGTCCAGGGCCCCTCCCATGTTTTCCAGTGAGCCTCCCTTGTCCTCTGGTGTCCCCTTCAGCCGTGGGACGCTTTGGCTGCTTCTGCACTGCTTTGTCCTAGAGCAGTGGTCTGCAAACCACCGCCTCCCTCTGTAAACACAGTTTTATTGCAACATAACAAAGCCCGTTTGCATAAGTATTGCCTGGGGCTGCTTTTGTTTTACCACGGCAGGATTGAGTAGTGACAACAGGCACTGCATGGCTAGAAAAAACCTAAAATATTTACTCTCTGGCCCTTTCAGAAAAAGTTTGCTGACCCCTGTCCTAGAGAGATGAAATTAGAGAAGAGTTCCTCCCAAGAAGGTGGTCGTTCTGTCCCTGGCTTGGAGACTAGACTTATCCAGCACCAGGCCCTGTCATCTGGGAGGGGACTGAGCAGATGCCATCCCATAGAGAACTGACCAGTACCAAAGACAGGGTGTTCTGCGACATTCTGCTCTATGCCAGCTGCTGCTCTCACGTGCACCTCTCAGCAACGCCACAGAGTAGGAACTGTATTATCCCTAGTTCACAGATGAGGAAACCGAGGCCCAGAGAGGGTGAGCGACTGGCCCAAAGTCCCACAGTGGGGCTTCGGCAGAGCTGGGACTCACCCCCAGGCCTGTTCTGAGTCCAAGCTGCTGCTCTTAGGCCTTGCTCTAGGCCGCCTTTCCTTACTGAGGCTTGGCAGGAAGAAGGAAAAAGCAGGTTGCTTGAGGAAAACAAACAAATGACGCAGGTTTGTTCGGGCTCAACAGGTGATTGCTGTGTAAAAACAATTCTGCACCCAGTACATCAAAGAGAGGGTCTCACAGCGCAAGGGCGTTGTGAGGAAGCCTTTCCTGTGGGTAGCAGAGTCTGCTATGGAGGACCAGACTCCCAAGGCCTCCTGAGGCAGGACCGGGGCTCTCCCCAAGGGCTCTCCCAGCGGCACCTGTAACCCAACATGTGAGAAAAGGCCCCTAAGCGCAGAGAGACTAGATTAACCTGATAACATCTGACACCCCCACTGGGGTGTCACACTAAGGGCTCTTGTGTTTGGATTTGAAAAACAGAAACTTCAGGTGGGTTCATTCCAACTGCCCCGATAAACACATATTCCATAATAAGCCAGTGTCTTTTGTCCTTCTAAATTCTTCTGAGAGAATTCTCTCCTTAAGAATTAAATGTAGAAATGTATTCCATCTCACATTGTCATGATACCAAAACTTCAGGGAAATAGGAACAATCTATGAAAGGTCTATAGTTATTATAAAAAGAGCAAGATTGTTCCCTTTTTGTTTGAAATAAAGGGAAGATTACATGGGAGAGAAATTAATCCGGATTACAAAGGCGAACAGCAAACTTACCCGGGTCACTTCCTGTTGACACAGGAAGAACAGCTTCTGGCTTGTTTCCTGGGAAATCTCTCCGTGAAGTCAGAAGGTCACTGGCGCACGCAAGGCAGGGGAGGGGAAAAGGGACGCCTGAGTCACATGAGTGCTTGAGGATTTGGCCTGCCTGAACGTTTCCATTCGCGCTTTTTTCACTGTCCGTGCGGATGCTATGAGGACTCCAGCTTTGAATGTGGAAAACAGCAAACTCTGACGTGCGCTGCCTCTTCGGCCCTTGCTCTGGGATCAGATAACCGCCAACGGTATCCTCAGCTCCGCCCCACTGTCCTGCTTGGCCACCGCCGCCGCCATCGCTGCCCCCAGTCTCCAGAAACCTCCCGCCCACGAGGATTTCGGTTTCATTGTTTTTTGTGCAGATCACCCACTAAAATTCACTGTTTGCTTTTCCACCATCTGCCCGTCTCCTCAGCCAGTTTCGTCTGCCTCCTTCAACGCCTGGCTCACGGTAGACCCTCAGTGAATATTTGATGAGTATTAATGGACTGTTCTAGAATAAATTGAAGTGTGCTTAAAATTTCACAAACGCGGTTGGGTTTTCACATCTAGTTTTTCTTTTCACATTGAGTTGGCTGTGCTACCTAAGGCACCCTAGTTATAATATATCCAACTGTCACTTTAATAAAGTGGTCTTTCATTTGTTCATCCCATCCAACATAATTTATTGAGCACCTATCTAGTGTTGGGCATCTATGGCAAGAATTCGATGGTGATCAAAACAGAGTGCCTGCCCTCATGGGCTTCCAGTCTAATGGGGGAAGTGAGGGAACAAATATTAATGAAGTAGCAATACAGATATGGTATTATGACTTTGATAAATGCTGTGAAGGAAAAACACATGCTGGGCTTCTGAGGAAGTAATGTTTGGGCTAAGATCTGAAAGATGCATTAACTAGGTGAGTTAACTAAATTTACTTGCTCAAGAGTGATTAGGGTTATCATCAGGGAAATGCAAATCAAAACCACAATGAGATATCACTTAACTGCAGTGAGAATGGCTTTTATCACAAAGTCCCAAAACAACAAATGCTGGCATGGATGTGGAGAGATAGGAACACTCCTACACTGCTGGTGAGACTGCAAACTAGTTCAACCTCTGTGGAAAGTAATATGGAGATACCTCAAAGAATTAAAAATAGAGCCACCATTTGATCCCACAATCCTTAGGGTATCTACCCTAAGGAAAAAAAGACATTCTATAAGAAAGACACCTGCACTCAAATGTTTATAGCAACACGATTCACGATTGCAAAGATGTGGAAACAACCCAAGTGCCCATCAATACGTGAGTAGATTAATAAAATGTGGTGAATGTATACCATGGAGCACTACTCAGTCACAAAAAACAATGGTGAACTAGCACACTTTGTATTATCCTGGATGGAGCTGGAGCCCATTCTACTAAGTGAAGTATCATAAGAATGGAAAAACAAGCACCTCATGTACTCACCATCAAATTGGTACTAACTGATCAACACTTATACGAGCACACGTGGAAGTAATATTCAGCAGGTGCCGGGCAGGTGGGAGGGGGTGGTGGGAATGGGTAAATTCACAACTAATGGGTGTGGAGCACACTGTCTAGGGGATGGGCAGCCTTGTAGCTCTGGCTTGGGTGGTGCAAAGGCAACATATGTAACCAAAATATTTGTACCCCCCTAATATTCTTAAATTTAAAAATTAAAAAAAAGAGAGTGATTAGGGCTAGAGTTTAGACCAGAATTAGGGTCAGAGTAAGGATCAGGGGAAGGACAGGGTAAGGTTAGAGAATTTTCTAGCAAAAGGGACTAGCGTGTCCAAATGTCATAGGGATCAAGTGGATGTTGACCAGTGGGGAACTGATGTCTGCCTAAAATAGCAGGGACACAAAATAAGTGGAGAAAAGAGAAAAAAGATTGGCATTATTTAGGAAGTAAAATGACAGGACTTGGTTAGTCCTCCAAGGTTCGTGTGGTGACCGAGGCAGGGGCTTGGGGCCTTCTCCTGGGCTGGCAGCTGTGGGCCTTCCGTGGCTGCCAACCTGGCTTCCAGAGATGGAAGCAGGCACTGAGCACTCTGACTGCATGTGCAGACAGGGATGCAGATGGGGGATGGGGTGTGCAGCGGGCACAGGTGAGCTCGAGCCTCAGTTGGCAGCCACGTTTCAGAACCTCAATTTAGGACTCAGGTCTGGAGGATTCCTGGAGCCCGAGCATAGATTACTGTGGGCAGTCAGGTGTTTACAGGAGCTTAAGATCATGTCTATTAAAGAGATCAATTGTGTCCACGAGGGGTTGGGTTCCACGCTTAATAGGTAATTGCTGATTTATAGAGCCCTGCCTGTGACCAGTGTAGCCAAACAAGAAACATAGGAAACAATTGTCCTGATATATGAACACGATGGCTTTTTTCCCTCCCCTTGATCAAAGAAAGACTCCAATGAAAGGGGAAAAAAATAATTAAAAAGTAAAAGCCTTACGTAATGAGATTTAAAAGAAAACTTTTGAAGCCAATAAGCAACTGTGGGCAATACTTCAAAGGGCCCAGAATCAATGTTTGTCAATAGCAGTTTTGCATCCTTTAATTTATCTTTCATGAATATAAAGTGTGATGTTATTAGGAGCCCATCCATGCCTTCATCTTGTTTGAGATTTGATGAATCAGAAGTCTATTAACATTCTGTCCAAATGAGCAATGGCAGAGGCCTGTGGCACAGGCCTACCCGGTCCTTTGTCTTGAGGTTGGGATACTAGTTACCCGGTCAGGCCTTCTGCCCTGAACACTCACCAGCTCCCGTGTGCACTCAGGAGCCGGGGGCTTGTTATGTTGGCCATTGTCTTTGGAGACTTTCCTCCCAGATGAGGAGCCACCTCATGACTCAGCCCAGCCCCAAAGTGACCATTTGTTTAATCAAGATAGTTGGTTTGCAAAACATTAAACATTAAACAGTATTTGATGCCTAGTTAATAATTTGCATCCTCTTCATTTGTTCCTGAATCCTTGGAGACTGACAATTTCCCCCCCCTAAAGGCATAGACAACAAAAGAAATTGTATTGAAAGCAAACTGCGTTCTTCACCCTGCAAAGATGTTTGCCGGAATGTCTGGTCTCCACGTTCTGCTGTTAATGGTTCTGGTAGGAAAGCCAGCCTTTGGGGTAAGTGTTCTTTTCAAATATCTATAGTCAAGGCACTCTGAGGTTATTAGGAGGACCCAACCAGCTGGGCCGGGAGCGCCAGGAAACTTTAGTGTGAAAGGCTGGAGTTGCCAAGTTGAATGTGTCCTGATTACAAGAACTAACGCAGGCCTGTGGCTCTGGGTGCTGTCGGACAGCCAGCCCCGTGGTCACATGCATCTGACTTGAGCCCTCTTAGAGCAGAGCGTCCGTGAATGCATTGCAGCAAGGAGTCTGCGGCAAGAGAATCTGCTAGGGCATGGGCTGTAGACTGCCATGGATCTCAGACACCCCTTTGAGAAGCCTTTGAAAGCTACAAACTCTCTCCCCAGAAAAATACCAGTGCTCACACACACACACACCGAGTTATCCAGCCATTTGGGGCAGACACTGGGGTAAGAACCCAAGTGCTTTGGTGTGGAGGGGAATATTGCTGACTGTGAATCATCCTGGCAATGGGCTTGCTTAGATGGATTTGATTTGGAGTGTAGCCTTGTGGTTGGTACTTTTTCTCCTTTTTCCCCTGACCGCAGTGGATGGAGCATAGAGGGTGAGCGGGGGTCAGGGAAGGTTGTGGTGAGCAGGGAAGGGAAGTGCCATCGGAGGGTCTTGAATGGGGGACTCAAGACCTTTGGGGGCAGACGAGTTGTTGAGATGTTGGCTCCTGCTGTATGCCGTTGTGGTCTAAGGGTGTTAGCGGGATCTCTGTGGGCATGGGAAAGAGACAGAAATGCAGTCCCCGGGAGCTCCATACTGGATGTGGCCTGGCGTGAGTGTGGGCTTTGTAGCCAGGGTTTGAATCTCAGCTTTGCTGCATTCTAGCTGTGGAATGTTGGGCAAGTAACATAATCTCTCCAGGCCTCAGTGTTCTCTTCTGCAAACCAAGTGCTAATCTCTCACAGATTTGGGGAGGGTCATGATGAAACGAGGTCATGCATGTGGCTTGCAATAAATGTTAGCTCTTTCCCCTTAAAATTTCTAGAACGGACACAACTTCTCTATAAAAACCAGAGCACGCTCCCCTTTTGTGGGGAGGGGGTGGTATAAAGTGGACTGAGGGCAAGAACTGAAATAACAGTCAGGAGCTCTTTATCTTTGTAAGAACCTTTGCATTTTCGACCTCCTTTCGCTCCATAGAGCATTTCCTGAAGGAAGCAGATTAAGTTGCAGCTTTTCTAATTAGCGTGTTTTTAAAACAACAGCTTCTCCACCCCTTTTGGTAAACGGTACTCAGACACCTCCATGTTAAGCTGCCAAGTGACTAACTTCTGAAAGGATTTTTCTTTTCAAACTATGACTTGTGTATGCGTGGTGGCTGAATTACAGATGGTTATCGAGCTCCTACATCTTTGATTGCCTGCTGGATGTCTGAGGCCGAGACGCGCAGAAACACCAGAGGTCTAGAGAAAGGCAGTGGAAACCATCACAGGCTCACAAGGGGCCCAGAGAAAGTACCAGTCGGAAAGAATTAGATCCTAAAGTTTGCAGGCAAGGAGAAGCGTTGACTCAGTCTGTTTGAAGTTCACAAAAGGATAATGGTCCCGAAAAATCCCTTTTTTGCAAACCCCAGTGAATTTTTAGGGTTGGCGATGAAATTATGAGTCAATAATGGATAAAAGAGAAAATATGAGAGTTAGCCTTCAGGCAATGAGCTTAGTCAATTCCAAAGAGAGGATTCGGGGCTTTGGAATGTTTTCTTACCCCAGATGTGTGCCAGACAGGTGGTCGGGAAGGCGGCTTGTGTTGCGCAGGCCGGCACACACACAGCAGGGGGAAAGGGGTCGAGTCGCTCAGATGCTTTGGAGAGTTTCGGGCATCTTGGGGGGCAAGGGAGCCACATGGCCAGACGGGCTGGGTGGCCTCTCCAGCCCCGCAGAGCTATAAACAATAACCAACTGCTAGCATGAAATGAGGAGTCCTGAGTGCTAGGCCAGGAGCTTTCCATGAATTGGTTCATCTCTGGAAGGACTCTAAGCAGTAAGTACTGTTACTGTTCCCATTTTACAGATACAGACCTGAATAACTCATCTCCAAGTCACATAGCTGGGACGTGGCCCAGCTGAGCTCTAGACCACAGGCTGGTGTCTGTTTAGACAAGGTCTCCCGCCTGGGGCCCTGGCTGAGGTTGGGATTTCTTTGGGTCATCACGTAGCTGCAGGGGCATGGTCCCTCCTGCAGGGAGAGGAGGCTCTTAGGGGCTCTGCTGGCTGTGCGAGCACAGTGGACTCCACGTGCCTCTGCAACTGTAAAGAAAGGACCTGTGATCGCTACCCGGGGACTCTCCCACGATTTCAGATCACATAGCAAGTAAAGACTTCTCTTTGAGATCATCTTCCGTGTAGATTTTATTCAGATATCCACTATCACAAGAGATGTGGCTCAAATATCATTGCCCTGAACTCCAGGGCATCCTTCATACTCATGCATAGTGCCTTCCTGTCCTGGCCTAGACAGGCCTTACCTGTCAGTTCTGAGCGCCTGTCCAGCACAGCCTGTATCATCATCCCTGTTTTACGGATGAGAAACAGGCCCAGAGATGTTACACCAGCTTTCCAGCCAGGTCAGTCCGACTCTTTGCCCGTCCAGGAGGCCTGCTCAAAGGTAACGGACTCAGAATCTCCTCTTGCTGGGTGTGGTTCTAAGGGTGATTTGGGGTGGGGCAGGGTTTGGCCATGATGGAATTTCACCTCTTCCAAGGCCAGAAGCTGGAGGACAATTCCTACAGGCCAGCCTGCTTATCACAGCCCGTCCCCAGAGAGACAACGGCCTGTCCTCTCTCCCATGAAGGGAACTGCAGATTGAATTGCTGTTTGCTCACATCTCTGGGCTTTCTAAGCCCTAGAACTCTAGAATCTCCCCAAACGTAGAGCTGCAAAAAGGTTTGCATAGACCAGAAGTTGCAAAGTATCAGCTTGGAATCTCTTCTGCTCACAGCTTGAGTTTTATTTGGCGGGTAGAAGATCAGCCTGAGGAATATTCTAGTTTTCTTTTAATTGCTTGGCAACATTTGAAAATCAGAATGTTTCACGTGAAGGTAGAGATCTCTAGCTTCTCTGGAAAGTCAGACATTCAGGGCTTCCGTTCTTGCCCGGCACGTGGGGAGGAGTGGCAACCGCCCTCCTTAGGAGAAGCAGCTTGGGTCTCCCAGACCCAGCAGTGCCCACCACTTTCTAGAACCCTTCCCTCTTGGCTTATGCGCATTATTAGCCTGGTTCTGCCTGAGAGAGAGAGAGAGAAACATCGAGGTCTCAGAGCCAGTGTGAGATGGGCAAGTGATCTGGTTCCGCATCTGATTCATTCAAGCATGCAAAGCTGCGTGGCCAGACCCAGCAAGACCTTTGGCAGGAAGGCACGAGCCACCCTCTTCAGAGTCTCCTTCTGGCCTAGGAGGGCCTGGAGGGACGTCCTTCCCTCTTGCCCTCTCCACATCGTCCTAAGGAAAAGGGAGGGACTGAATTTCACTGCAACTTCTCACAGATTTTGTTTTTTTTCTTTTTAAAATTGATCCTAAGACGAGTCGAACTTATTAGCTTTGGCAGCGTACACTGGTATTTAAAGAAATCAGGTCGCAGGAAATCGCCTGTGTGTATAGGCACAGATATATTTATATTTTAAATCCATTAGGGTTTCCTAAATGCAAAAGCAGTTCTGCTGTCACGGAGAAACAGCATGGCAGAATATTCGGCAGCCGGGATTTTAAATAAAACATGCTTTTTCTTCATAATTAATATAACAAGGTTTCCTGGCTTAGGACTTGGCAAGGATCCCAGGAAAAAGGGCGGGAGGGGGAGGAGGTTGGCGTGACGTGCCTGTGACCTGACAAACAAGTTCCAGGAAAAGTTTGTGCTGAGCCAGCTCTCCTCAGTGAACCCGCCCCTGGGGGTGTGCTCAGTGATTTGCAAAACAAAACAGAACAAACTCAGGGACCACGGAGGCTAATAATAGTCCTAATAATAATAGTCCTAATAATAATAGCAGTAACCATTGATGAAGTCTTTAGATATGCCAGATACTGTGTGCTTTATGTTTATTATGTCACTTAAGCTTCCCAACAACCCTATGAGGCAGGGACCAGTGTCATTCCTATTTTACAAATAAGAAACTAAGCTGTGGAGAAGTTAAGCAATCTGCCCAAGAGGCACCCCGGGGAGTAACAGGGCTGGGATTCAAACCCAGGTCTGCTGGATGATGCCAAAATCGATGCTCGTAACCACTGTGGTCTAGATTATCACGCCCGGCGCTGCCCACAGACAGACAAGCCCGTTCAGTGTGGTAGCAAAGGTGTCAGGCACCAAAGGTGTCAGGCGGGGCAGGAGCCTCAGACTCCAGCTCCCAGCAGGCGGGGAAGTGACTCCCACCTGGAGGCTCCCCCGGCAGCCCCGGAAGCTTTATTTACCTTCTGACACCAGAAGGATCCTGTCTTGCCAGACAGCTAACCAATCAGTTCAGTGTGCTCGAAACTTCAGTGGCGAATGAATCCCTCTGCAGGAATTTTGCCAAAGCTCAAATTAGTTTCTTAATATGTTTCTTAAACAGAGTCACCTTTTCCTCTACTGAAATTGACTTATTTTTAAAGGAAATTGCCGCTACTATAAAGCGAGCAAAGAGGTGTCATGGAATTCTAGCTGCTGCTGTCGTTGGAGAGCCCCAGAGGGCAGCCAGCTTTCTCCTGGAAGGGGAGACCAGCAGAGGTAGGGGATGGTGACACACCAGCAGCCAGCTGAGTCCTTCCTCGCGGTGGCCTTGAGAGGGTTGACAGGAAGCCGAGAAGGGAATGGCTTTGTCACACTGCACTGCACTCTCACATGCCCCGGCCAGGCACCACCTAAATCAACTCAGGTGCCACCAGTGGTTCACGTCCCACACCGTGGAAAGCACAGACGTGAGGGCGGCCGCAGTGGCGGCGCTGGTTCCCAGCAGCGGGTGGTTACCTTCCCCAAGCCCTGGGCTGTTCGCTGGGGTGACTGGCCAAGAAGGTTAAC